TTTTTTTCAGCCCTCAATCATCATGTTTTTCAATGGACTACTAATTCAGAAACTAAGAATTGCATATTGTAAAGATTCGGCCTACCTCGTCTAAAACTCGCATGTAAATTTATTTTAACTTGCTTTGATGGGACCCGACGGGTCTTTAATAAAAAATTATCTATCTATCTATACAGGGCAATACGTTGTCTGACAATCAGATAAGGCGAACATTTTCTCCGATTTCTTCTCGTCTGTACATACTGAAAAGCCGGTTTTTGATGAAAGGTTTTATCCTCCCCCACTTTTCAAATAAAGAAATACAATTAGCCCGGTGGACTTCACAAAAGACAGGATAAGGAAAACTTTCAGTCAACTACAGTCCACTAAATCTGCTGGTCCTGTCGGCATGCTCAAAAATGCCCTGAATGAACTCTCAGACCAACTGGCCTCTCCGCTACCCAGGATCTTCAGAACCTCGATGGAGATCAGGGCTTTGCCTACCGACTGGAAGAAAGCAAATATAAGCCCCGTATATAAAGGTCGCAAGAGAACAGCCGCAAATGATTTCGGACCAGTGAGTCTCCTAATCATCTGTTGCAATTTGACGGAAAAGGTAATAAAAAAGAAGCTGATGCTGCATCTTTTTTTTCTTGAAAGAAACCACTTGTCCAGTTTGCATCAGCAGGAATTTCGAAGGGGTCGATCCTGTCTTACTAGTCTGCTAGTATCCATGGAGAGCTAGACGTCATCAATCGACATGGGCTTATCAGTCGACGTCGTGTACATTGACTTCAAAAAGGTTTTTGACGGTGTTCCACACAAAGGACTTATATGTAAACTACGTCAAGTGGGTGTTAATGGGAATCTTTTGAAATGGCTAGCCGATCTCCTTACGGGCAGGTCTCAGCGTGCGTTTACCAGAAATGCTCACTCGAAATTGGCATTTGTCCACATTGGCGTTCCGCAGGGGAGCTTTCTGGGTCTAATTCTGTTCTTCATATATGTGAACGAATGCCTGGACTGTCTGAACTGCGAGCGCGTAAGGTTTGCCGATGATCTCAAATTGTGAAAATCAGTTGAAAACCTTTAAGACACTGTACAGTTACAAGACAATATGAATCGCTTGCAATACTGGTGTGATGAGTGGTGCCATAGCCTCAGTCGTAACAAATAACAACTTATCCGATTACGAGTAAGCAATATGAGGCCGTTTTAATTTAAATCTCACTACTTTATAGGAGGTCATCAACTCGAATCAGTCAACCAGTTAAGAGACCTCGGTGTGTGGATGACGTCAACTCTCAACTCATCGACTCACTGCGGCAAGGTATTAAAGAAATCTATGGGTATCCTAGGCGCGATAAGAAGATCCTTCTTTACTTTTGACGGAGAACTTATGGACAAGTATTTGGAAGATTCGTTGAAGCAATGTTGGAGTATTGTGTTCAGGCATGATGTCCCTGGAAATGCAGTTAAAAATTCACCGCTCAGACAAGGACGGAGTATGTATCCAGAATTATCCGACAGGCTGCAAAGAAGCCCAAGATTTTATTTCACTATATAAACAGTAGGCTGATGACCAAGGACCCGGTCGCAGTAAGGAAAGATGATGATGGTGTAAAAATCGTTGAAAACGGCGAGAAAGCCGGACATTAGGGAGGTTACTTTGTCTGGGTTTTCATTAGGGAAACAGAGTTTCGAAGTCGCAGTGCTATCAGTGTTGGCTACGTGCCTGACTCCATACTCTTCCCGACATCTGTCGTGGAAAAGGAGCTGCAAAATCTCAAGGAAGCAAAGTCGTCGGATCCGGACAATATACCGCCCAAATGAACTCCCCAAATCACTAACATACATCTTCCGTTTGTCATTTGATGTAGGGAGTCTGCCATCCCAATTAAGGGCAGTAAATATCTTTCGAATATACAAGTAAAGGGCTCGCACTAATGCTGACAATTGCCGGCCCATTAGTCTCACATGCATCTGATGTAAAATAATGGAAGCCATAGTTAAAAAGCAACAGTAGAGTTACTGGAGCAGAACCACTCACTTTCAGACCTGCAGCACGCCCTCAGACAGAACCGCAGGTGACTTTCCAATTCATTGCTCTCGACTGAGCAGTAGGATCGCTCACTGATCGAGGATGATAGGGTCGATGCCATCTAAACGAACTTTAAGAAGACGTTCTACAGCGTCCCACACAAACGTCAAATTTACAAACCCTCTAAAATTGGGATTGGAGGACGGCTGCTGACATGGATCACAGATTTTCTCGCAGGGATATAAAAACCGTGTGCTTTAGACCTCGAGATCAACTCCAGCTTGCATTATAAGTGGTGCTCCCCAGGGCTCGATCTTAGAGCATATGCTATCTCTAGTTACATTAACGACTGCATCGATGGCCTGGGATGCATCGTCGCTAATCTGTGGAAACCCATCGGATCGGACGCAGGCAGGTACGCATTTCGAGGCGGCTTCAGTCGCCTGAGTAGTCGGTCAGCTCGTCGGCTACTAAATTCTTATGTTAACAAACATTTACATGTTAACAATGACTGGTATAACTGCTATGTAAATATCTGCATGTTTTTTTTCATACGTCTATCTGTAAATAGGGTTTTCCAAGGCTCTGCCTCTATCCCTCATATATACTGAATTATACTGAATTAATGCGTCCTTAATGGGCAGTTCCTTTCAAATGCTGTGAAACGGAAAAACCTCGGCATCCTCACGACTTCCTCTGTGAAGCCATTCTCACAGTGTCAAAGGGCAATCAAACGCGCGAAAGGGGTGTTATTTGCGCTGAGGTAAGGATTTGTGCAGATCGATAAAGAGCTGTACGGAGAAACCCTGCGGGCCATTCGTTCGGTCTCACTTAGTGTCTACAGTCCAGGCCAGGTGACCGTGTTTGAAGCAGATTTATAGACAACTGGAAAGAGGACAGGCGATGGCTACGAATACGGTCAGTAATCTTGATCATCTACCTTACGAAAGTAAACTTACGGAACTAAATTTGCTTCCTCTCAACCTCAGGCAACTGCACGTCGATCTCATTCAGACCTACTGGATTGTCGGGGCTCTGAGTGCGTCCTAGACTTTGAAGAATCCTACAAATCGACAAAGACGGATCGTCTGTGTGGTGAGCTCTTTAAACTACAGAGAAAGCTTGTCCATACGGACGGATGGTTGAAAGCCTTCCCACAGAGTGTCATAGGAGCATGGAACGGACTCCATGATGCGGTGGTTCTTTCCGAAACTATTCAATCCTTTAAGTGCAGACTAGATGTTCATTTGCTGAGAAACTACTGTACATATAATGACAATTGTTTTAGCGGCGACATTTCGCGCCAAGCTCACTCTTACCGTTAACTTTTGAATTTCTAAATTTGTTCATGTAACAATTGGTCCTATTTTTGCTTATCTATGTGAATAAGGAGCACAAGGACGAAAGCCTACCCCTTAAGATAAACTGACATATATTTTAACGGACAACATGCCAAATCTTCTTACTAAACAGCTAAAAAACTGTCCTGTTCCGCAGGGCAAATTAGTTCCGGGAATCGGGTGTTCGTAAAACGCGCTTTCTTGCCAAAGTGATGAAAGAAAATCTACCATAAAAATTACTGATTTTCAAAAGTCCAATGTAGTTCTCAGCTCTTCCAAACATATAGAAATATGTAAATATACGAACTTACATTTCCTGAAACAAATCCATGCTGTTTTGCTTTCTCTCTCTCACATGGAACTTAAAATAACAAGTGACACTCTCTCAGTCTATATGTTGCTACACATGATTTTAAGCCCTAAATCTTACCGCAATCAGTGGTTTTTTTAAACCGCTTGTCATGATTAAAGTTATGCCATCAAGGACGTGGGTTAAAGTTACGAAAACAATATAAGTTATGCACAGCATGCCGACTAAATAAGGCCACCGTTACACAAATTGCAACTTTTTTATAATTTGTTGTGGTTATGCGGTGAGAATCTGTACAGTACAAGCGCCACCATAATCAGGGCTAATCCTGTGTTAGAAGGGAGAAGACGGAAGGGACCAGAATGGGGGTTTATTGTGCACAGAACCCGGAGTAGTCCTCTCAGGCTGCAGTGGTCACTGGCGAAGCCAGGACTGGCGTTGACTGCGTCCAGTCAGGCCTAAGAGTTTCTGAGATGGTGGTGGCAACCGCTTTTGTAGGCTCTAGGGCCAAGCTCAAGTGGTGTCCATTCAGTGTGTGTTGCTTTTGCCGAGGGGTGGTGTCCCAGTGGTTTGTTTTGCTGGTTGCAGGGGGTGGCGCGTTCAAGTTGCCGCATAGGCAGCTGCGACCGCGCGGACGCAGGTGTGCCCGAGCTGTTGGTCTTGTGACTTCAGGTCAGCTCGTCTGGGACGCCTCCCTGCAAGGGATGAACGACCTTGAGGCAGCCAGGTCTCGAACAATGACGCTAGACCGGTCATGATGGTTGGCCGTTAAAAATTACTGCCTTCCTGTAATTCAAATAGGACCGTCGGACGTTCGCCCTTGGTAAATTCGAATATTGATGCCAATTCTTTTATTTTACTGAACGACGTTAGACGTTTTAAAATTGTAAGTATTCAATAGCACTCTACTTATATATGTGCAGCTATTTTGTGGTTTCGCAGACTAGGATCTGGCTTCCGTCCGCTTCAGCATAAATAAAATTGTCCAAATCTTACTCAGCGTTCAGTTTCTACACCATGATATTTGCCTGCACAACCTCAACAATCTCTCCTGGATCATATGTCCTTCGAATTCCCCAGTTCTAAACCTTCTCTCTCACGCGACAACTCCACTCTCCAAGTACATCCGGCACGCCTAGCCACTTTTGGTCCATAACTTGTACCAATTGCCTTTATAGAACCCATTTTCGTTCAGTTTAAATACTGTCAAGGGCCACCTTTTTTCCTCAGACAGTGGACTTCAAAATTTCTTCCGTATTCCGACTTCAGTGTTTTTAATGCACCGTTTCGCAAGCATCTTTTTAAAAGTCCTCTCGGCGACATTCCGACGATGAGACCGATTGTTGAGTTGTTAACGTTGTCCCTTTTCGTTTTCTTGTGCCAAGTAGACTGTCTTTTTTAAAAGCTTGATGTCTAGGGTGCCTATGAAGACTCTAGGTGCAAGTGCGTATGTGTTGACCATTCTGTCCCGGAGAACCATGACAAGAACTCGACTGAGCCTACTCGTGCCGTATACGTAAAATCTATTCCAGCAGACAAATGGTAGGTCATTGGTTGTGCTTATTTTATCTCCTCCGCAAGTACTTGCCCTTTCATGCTCGAAAACAAGGCAGATCTATGCCCCTACTGCGATTGCAAATACCAGGTTCGGAATACATCAACAATTAAAGTGAGTCGTAGACTTTTTACGTAGTCCTGACGTATAGTCAAAAAGCAAAGTCTAGCTAATGCGTTGGAGGACTGTTAAATGGGACCTTTTGTTTACTGTTTGGTATTCATGATTTCTGTTTCACTTTCCCATTCCTTTCTTCACTTCTTGTTACTGGGGTTTCTGTCAATCGTCAAAGCTAACTAACCTCAGCTTTTTTCAGAGAACGCTTCCCCTTCTCCGCCCACCTATGACGTAGTGAATGCACCCTACGTGCTGGAGAGCGCCTATGTCCTCAGAAATATAACCCTATCTATTACTATAGTTTTAGGTTTCTCATCTTTTTATACTTTGATTTAATAAGTTATCAAGTTTTTTCGCCAGTGCAGCTTTCCCTAAATAGGTCTTTAAAGATAACGAGCAACATTTAATAACTTCACAAGCATCAGAGGGCACGGAGAGGGATTTATGCGTTTCGACGACGATCTCTGAGGTCGTGTAAAAGAGTGGTTATAGAATAATGATTTAACTGACTCGCTGGAAATTTAGGGAGTCTGATTTGTGCGAACGTAGTATGAGTTAGAGTTGTGGAAATTGCCGAAGTTGTTACAACAGGTGGCGGGGTTGGCGGATGGCATGTAAGAATACATTTCAGTTATATCAAAAAGAAATCTGTGGAAAATGAAACAATAGATAGTATTATGCCCAGTTTAATTGGTCCCATCGGCATCTTATTTGGAGTCAGTTAGTCACACGTGGAAGCCGTGCAACTTTATTCGAGTGGCGCTGTGCGATCTGCAATGGCATATCTGTCGAGGCCAGCAGAGGTCGCGATTTGACGGCATTGTATGGTTGCCACTTTGGATACTGTTACACTTCCCGATCGGACCCTGAGACTTATAGCCAGGGACGGAAGAGGACGTTGGGCTGTCCTTTACTTTTAAAAGATACTGTGGCCGTAGTTGATGTCGTACTTGTCGGGTGTCCACTCCTGCGGGCAAAACTTCCATCGGCTATATTTGCCTCGTCAACACCAGCATACTTTCAGGTCGTTCCAGTGACGTTAGGAATTTCAGTAGTATATTTATACTTACCCTCAATGGTAGAAAGCCTGCCAAATATGATCAATGATCAGGAATAAATACGCAAATACGTGGAGCAAAGCATGCGCATACAGGGAGGATAATGAAAATAGGGGCACGATTTTTGCCACATATTATTGTCATTTTAATACTCTATATTGTCTGGCACACGCGGCATCACAGAGCGCATCTTTCGGCTGTTTGTGATCGTTTTCCCAATAACATTGGACCTCCACATATACACACTTGTCATGGCCAGTTTTGTCATGCGAAATTCGTTGATTAATCTTTAAAAACCCTGTCCGCTCTTCTCGATCACTGTACGATAAGTTGCCAAAATGCCTTCTTAAACTACACGCCCCTTTGGTGTCGTTCCGCATTTTTTACACACAGTCACTAGGCTGTTAGATCTTACGCATGAATTGTACTTTCACACTAAACCGTCTGTTTGCCTATGCGTCTTTTGCTTATGTTCGCTATGACCTGCGATGTAGAGTGCATTCTGATCCTTCTTATTTATTTCTTCAAATCCGCGCTACTATGCTGTTGGTATTGCAACTCGGTCCCAGCACTCTGTAGATGCTAAATTAGCATTATCTTAAACGCCGATGGAATGTCTCTGGAGACACTAGAACGTTTGCCGCTTTGCTTGTTTCATGGAGGCCATTACTCAGAGGATGCCGTAATAAAGCTAACCTTAGAGAAGAAAGACTGCTTTATACGTATTAATCCATTATCGATTTTTACGTACATAACATTTCCCAGCGTTCACACCTCTTATTAGATGCGTTTTCTAATTCCAGGTGGTTGTATGCCTGATTGTCGTCATACTTTCCGCACTTTCGCTGTACCTGGTCTTCATGTTGCTGTTGGAGCCATTTCTTACTGCAAGGGGACGTAAAATCAATTTTGGCTCCTCTGCTTGCCGTCCAGGCACCTTACAGTCAAGGACCCTTCGTTCTTTTCGCAATTACACTCCATTTTCTAACTCCGATCGGTTAGCCCAGAAAGGGCAGCCAGTGGGCGAATACAACAGCATGGGCGCCGACAATTTAACAGGTAACCCTTTACGTTAGTTGTCCCCTTTCGTCCTATGACGACTCTTGAAAATTATGATGCTTGTCGCGACAAAGCATTCCTACATTGCATGAAACATGATTTTGGGTCTCAAGGCTTTCATCATATTCGCTCTGCACCAAAAAGCTCGACATTGGAAGGCTTGCTGCCGACACATTCGACAGCGCTGTTCTTCTTCCGCATTTGTCACAGAACTGTTCAGCGGGCTTTCAAACCACTAGCCATATTGTTTCACCGATTTAATGGTTGTAGTGCTGTGGGAAGCATTGCCTAGCTGTTTAATCAACCGTTCGTCAATGCTTCGGGTGGGATTTCTGCAAAAACTGGAGTTGGTCTGGTACTGCGAAAGGGAGCCAGGTGAACCATTTCTTGTTTACTTGCCGTCGTCAGTCCACTATAGGTCAGGGAGATCTGAAATCTTAACATAAATTAGTTGGCAATTGGACGTTCAGTCTTGTCATTGTCATACTTCGAGTGTTCAAATTGGCAAAGTTGAGAGATCTGGGTTAATTATTTGAAGAAGAATATGGGCTCACTGGAACAAGTTTATTTAAATGCTGACATTTCGAAGAGCTTGGGCGACTCTCCATTGTCAAAGCGTAAAATGCACTTAAACTGGCGTGTTACGTTGGTCGGCCTCGTGCTGATCGATTTTTCTCCCCTCTCGCTGCCGCGGCCTCTCGTGGGATGGTTGACGGGCGCTTTGTCTGCGTGCTTTGTGAGTCACCACTCCGTCGGTGGGAGGTGATTGAACCAGTGTCGGGTGGTCGGTCTGACGGTTCTTGTTCTTCTTCGCCGAGTAAACTCGCCGTCGAGCTGTCTCCGTATGACCTTCTTAAGTCCGGTGTGGTTTGGTCGGGAGCTCTATGGCTGTGACGACGTAGGACTTTGTAAGCTGCAGGAAGGTCCAGATGCCTGTTGATGGAGTGGGCATCGGAGAACCACACCTCGAGAGTTAGCCGTTTTGCTTTTCTGTTGCCCGGCCTAAGATGGTAGCTCTTTGGAGAACGAAAGTATGCCCAGTTTCTCCACGTGTGTTGCTAATTGAGATTTTGGGTCTACCTCCGAAGAACAAGAACCGCCAGACCGACCACCCGACACTGGTTCAATCACCTCCCACCGACGGAGTGATGACTCACAGAGCACGCAGACAAAATGCCCGTGAACCATCCCACGGGATGCCGAGGCAGCGACAGGAGAGAAAAATCGACCAGGACGAGGCCGACCAACGTGACACGCCAGTTGGGATCTCTGGTCGATTAAGTGCATCTTACGCTTTGACAATGGAGAGCCGACCAAGCTCTTCGAAACGTCAGCATCTAAATAAACCTGTTCCGGTGAGCCTATCTTCTTGTCCTGAATCCGTCTTTCCACTGAGCCCAAGAGGGTGAGGAAAGAGAGGGTGAAGCAGATGCTGCACAGGTTTGCTACTTCTGTATGGGTTAGTTTGTGGTGGGTTAGAATTGCGGGCACTTGCCGCACTCTCCTTTCTAAATTACCTAGTTCAGGTTAGAGGGAAGCATCAGGACTCGGGCACACTGACTGACCAATCCGACCGGACCTTCTACGCGTGCCACACGCGTTCTGATAGCCACAGATTGTACCGGAATTCTATAAGGATGGCTGGGACCTCACGTGCGTGGGAGTGCCGTAAGGGCCACATTGGGAAGGGGCCATTGAGGCAGACTTTCAGTACTTGGAGTGGCCCAGCCATCCCGGCAGTTGACAACCTTCCACAAGCCACGACTATTAGTGCGTCATAGTAGGTTCAAGCTTCAGGTTCAAAATGGTGAGAGATGGGTCAATCTGACTGTTTCTTCCCGTTAAAATGCATCCTCCGATCGTCCAAGCTTGTCAGCCGCAAGGTGGGCCAGTGTCTGATGCTTCGTGAGGCGTGCACCTAGGCGTGCCCCAACACCCCTCCATGTACGACAGGTTGCGTGGACTCTGCAAGCCTCGATTAGTGCTTACCGCGGGTCAATCTTATTCGCTCTTTGGACCAAAACTTCAACATCATAGTGCCTTCTCGACCGTTATCAGGGATGTTCAGTCGTTCCGGGACGGGACACACGTCATTTTATCCAAATTGAGGACTGCTAAAAGCATCGTGGAGTCATTTGCTGTCATCGGCCAACCATGCCTAGGAAATCTTCGGCCTAGGGCTTCAAGACAAAGCTCAACAGGAACCTTCCCTCCTGCAAACAGATTAGCGAAACGCCAGGCACATATATTCCGATGTCACTTACTTACTTCCTTGATACGGCTGCGATCATGCCTGATCTAGCCGGCCTCGATGATGTCCCGAATTGTACCTCTCCACGCGTGACGATCCGCGGCCGCAGATCTAGACAGCTCAACCCATTCCCTTCGCCAACGACGGAGACCGAATACCGAAGGTCCAAAAACCACCTCCATGTCTTGACGGACAGTGTCGAGCCAGGTTTTGAACTGACCCCCTCTTCGACGCCTCCAATTGGGCAACGGTGCCGGATCGAGGGCAGTAACACTGAGCTCCTGAGGTGGACGACGAAGAACATGCCCGAACCACCTCAGTCGTCTTTCTTGGATGGCCTGAGTTATCCTCGCGATGTTGTCGCAGCGAGCGCGGACTATCTCATTTGAGACGAAGTCGGTTAACTTCACTCGAAGGATGATCCTCAAGCAGTGGTGGTCAAATACCTCCAGTTTTCGCTCATCCGCCACACGCAAAGCCCAGCATTCACAACCGTAGAGAAGGACAGACCGGACAGATGCACGGTACACGCGAATCTTAGTGGCGATGGAGAGGTCACGTCGGTTCCACAGGCATTTCCGAAGGCTTGAAAAAACCCAGCGGGCAGCATCGATTCGGGAGACAATGTCGTCCTTACTCTGTCCATTAGGCAGCAGCCGCGCCCCGAGGTATTTAAAACTGTCCACTTCTTCAAGTCGGCAGCCATCAATCCCCAGGGATGCCTTCTCCTGGTCAGGAATGCAACTTGAGAATACTTTGGTCTTCCCAGCGTTTATGGACATACCGACTGATTTAGCGACCTCGTTCACTCGTGACACCATAGACTGCAGATCACCAAAACTTGAAGCAAGTAAGGCGATATCATCGGCATAGTCGAGATCAGTCAGTCGATGTCCGGGTGCAAATTCAACACCGTCACTTTCCCGTAGGGCCCTCCCGAGGATCCAGTCAATAGCGTAGTTGAACAGTATGGGTGACAGTATACAACCCTGTCGGACGCCAGACCGAATACCGAACGGTTGGGAAAAATTGTTACGGACCAGGACTCTCGCACTAGTGGAACGATAGTAGGCCTTGATCATGGCGATGATTTTGGCCGGTACACCATCTAGCGCCATTATCCGCCACAGGGACTCACGGTGAACGGAATCGAACGCGGCGGCAAAGTCAACAAAGCAGACGGCCGTCGGTTGTTGGTAGCTATGGCGAAATTCGAGAATGCGCCTCAGTGTGAATATCTGATCTGCGCATCCACGTCCAGCACGAAATCCGGCTTGGTTGGGCCTCGTCCTTGAGTCACGCACAGCCTGGAATCGTCCGAGTAGGACAATAGCGAAGATCTTCGCAGCAACGTCGATGAGACTTATGCCGCGGTAGTTCTCGCATCTGGTCTTATCTCCCTTCTTGAGGATAGGTACAAGGATGCCTAAGCCCCAGTCATCAGGAACAACTTCGTCTCTCCACGCGCGTTCAATCACCTCATGGAGCCAGGGCGCCAGAGTGTCGACACAAGACTTAAAGATTTCAGCGGGTATACCGTCCTCTCCGGGTGCCTTATTGTTGCGCAACTTTCGTATGGCATCGGCGACTTCTTCCTCGGAGGGGGGATCGCATGGCACTGCATAGGTAGGAGAGGGAAGAAACTCCGCTGAGGAGGAGAACAAGGGCGATGTAGGTTGGGTATCGAAGTTGAGATGGTGCTCAAAGTGCTCACGCCAGCGCTCGACTTTGGCCGAGTTGTCAGCAATAAAGCCGCCGTTCACATCGCGAACAGAGTCACTCAGTGTAGAGGGCTTACCGCTAACTTGGCGGATCAGACGGTAGAGCTTTCGAGTGTCACCGACGTTCGAGGCCTGTTCCATGGATGTCGCTGTTTCAGCCCAATATTGTTTCCGGTCATCCCTGGCCGATTTTGCCGTCATCTTCCGAAGTTGGCGGAAGTAGTCATCGTTGCGGGACCTGGCTCTAGCCGTCTGAGCAGACAACTCCAGTGTTCTTCCGCTGATCCAGTCACTGCGGCGTCGCTGGGTGTATCCAAGGATTTTCTCAGCTGCCCCATAGACTGATGTCTTCAGTGACGACCACTGGTTACTGACTTCTCCGTCGACTCGGGCCGTAAAACAGGTCCGGAGTTCTCTGCTTAGGGCCTCGGCAGTGCTGGCTTGCCGGATTTTTGCGACATTGAGGCGTCTAGGACGTGGCATTTTTGGTGCGGATGAGAGGTGAACTTTCAGGCGTGTACGGACGAGGACATGATCCGACCCATGGGCGTTACCAGTCTCGGCACCACGCATCGATCTGCTATCATGAACCCAGCTGCGGAACCTTGAGCTGACTAGTATGTAGTCAATCTGACTGGCCGTACGACCGTCGTTTGAATACCAGGTCAGCAGATGTTTTTTGCGATGCTGGAAGCATGTGTTGGTGACAAGCAGTCGGTTTCGATCAGCGAAGTTCAGCAATCTCTCACCATTTTCACATCGAGAACCAAGCCCAAAGCGGCCAAGAAGATGACTGGTTGTGGGGTCACCAGGTCCAGTTCGACCATTCCAATCGCCAGCAACAATCAGCAGATCGCGGCGAGGCAGTCTTTCAACTAGTGCTTGCAACTGAGAGTAAAACGCCTCTTTATCGCGCTGTTCGGCAGCCGAAGTTGGTGCGTACACAGCGACGATGGAGATGTTCGTGAAGTGACCCTTCAGTCGCACGTAGGCCATCCGGTCATTGACTGGTTCCCAAGCAAGTAGCGCAAGCTCCGCTTGTTGT